AAGTAAAGGTAAGATGTGAGAGGAAATCTGTTCACTAACACTTGAATTGAAAATGTATTGTTTTTGACCAGAGCAGTTAGTCTGATATAGAGAAGCTCATGTATGCTTTGCTTCTGTTCATTAAAGAAATATACTTTCTTACTTCTTCAGGGAGCCCCTCTGAACTTTTCTTTTCTCCAACTGTCTAAAAACTCCTGATTCTTAACAGAGAGAACTCAGAAAAATTGTAGGTTGAGACTATATCTAGATCAATTTGGAGAATGCAGTGCAATCCATCTTTTGTTCGATTTGTCGTAATTAACAGCTTCAGGGCTTGCACTGTGAATTTTAGTTTTTGGTGTAAATCAAGTCTTAAAGCTCCAGGGATGGGCCAGCAACTTGTAATGTACAATGAGATGATAAAGCAGCAGAATGTAGTGTAGTGCACAAGGTACAAAGACCTGAGAGTTCCAGTTTATTACACATTTATGCTTTCCAAAAGTATTTCATCAGTTACATGTTCAAAGGTATAGGTAGGACATCATGTTAGAAGTAGCAACCCTGTTAAAAAGAGAAAAAGTATTTCAGGTCTGGGAGGGACTATAGATATTGTATATTTCAAGAAACCAGAGAGATTGTCCAAGAACACACAGTTCTTGGATTAGAATTGGGAGCCGCCCCTCCTCTCCATCTAGCTGGATTCAGTGCAGTTTCAGGGCTCACCTTGTCTCAACTCCCAGCTTTCCCTTTCTCTGTGATCTTCACTGGACAATTTCCTTAATCTTTCTAAGGCCCATTCTCCTTACCTGTAAAATGGGGATATAAACAACTACCTGTCAGAATGGTGGTGAGGATTAGATGAGAATAAGTGTATAAAAAGGAGCCCTGGTGGTACAACAGTTAAACTTTCAATGGGTTAAGTGCTTGGCTGCTAGCCAGAAGGTGTACAGTATGAACACATCCAGTGGCTCTGCGGGAGAAAGACCCAGTGGTCTGTTCTCGTAAAGATTGCAGCCAAGAAACCCTATGGGACAGTTATACTCGGTCACGTGGAGTCACTGTAATCACTATGAGTAGGAATCAACTCGACACCACCTAACAACAACAAGTGTGTAAAAGTCTTCCCAATGTCTCCCCTAAATTTTGCTAATAAAGCACTGGTTTTCCTCTCCTCTGCTCCTGCTTACCACCCCAGTGGGGCAGGGTGGGAGTTGAGGTGGGAGCTCTGGTGGTGTAAAGCCTAAGGCATTTGAGAACTAACCAGAAGGCTGGCAGTTCAAACCCACCAGCCACTCCTTGGAAGGAAGGTGAGTCATACTCATCACAGAGAAAGCTAGCAAATATAATTAATTCCTTTTTTTTTTTTTTTTTTGATGTCTGTCACTTTTAAATAATTTGCTTCTTATAAAAAAAATGTTGTACTTCTACTTTGTAAAGGAGCTCTGGTGGCGTAGTTCCTCAGGCATTTGACTGCTAGCCAGAAGACTGGTGGTTCAAATCCACCAGCCACTCCTCAGAGGGAAGGTTGGGCAACCTACTTCTATAGCACTAATTACATTCAGGAGCTCTGGTGGTGTAGTCCCTAAGGCATTTGCCTGCTAACTAGAAGGCTGGCAGTTCAAACCCACCAGCCACTACTTGGAAGGATGACTGGGCAATCTACTTTTGTAGAGATACCACCTCACAAACCCAAGGAGGTGTCACTATGAGTTGGAACTGACTTGACGACAGTGAATTTGGTTTTGGTTTTGGAACTACATTCAGTATTTAAACAAAAACTATTTAAAAAAGTATAAAGTATTCCCATATTTTAAGCATTAATCTTACTTAAAAATTTTCAATTTTAATGAGGTTAAATACAATTTTTTTTTAGTAGGAAACATATAGATATGAATCATGACCATATTATATATGTACTATGTATGTACTATGACATATACATGAAATATGATCAGTGTCATTCAACTCTTTTTATAGAAAAACTTCTAATAAAAATACTTTTTTTTTCTGCTTTTTTTTTTTTTTAATTGTGATTTGGGTGAAGATTTACAGAGCAAATTCACTTTCCCTATAGCAGTTCACATACACTTTGTCTCATGA